TAGGCTACAAAGTCAGCCTGGCACTTGCTTGAAATTCCCAAAAAAGTTTCCAATAGACATTAGAAAAGAAAATAGTTTAGTTGTCGACTGAAGATACCTATTTCCTTATTCCCAAAGAGTTGGAAGCTGAATCTCAAAGAGATGTTTTTATATATGAGTTCACAGCAGCAGTCTTCACAATAGCCAAAAGGTAGAAGCAACCCAAGTGTCTATTAATAAATGGCCAAGCAAAATATGGTATGTGCCTACCAGGGAATATTACCCAGCCTTGAAGAAGGAAGTTCATGCTGAGACACATGGTCAGGTGCAGAAGGGCATGTATGGCTCCACTTATCTGAGATCCCTAGATAGTCGGGCTCATAGAGACAGACAAGGGGTGTTTGGACTAGGGGTGGGGGATAGAGAGTTGCTATTCAACGAGTTTGGGTTTTACTAGATAGAGTCTGGGGGTGGCTCAAGTGGTAGAGTATCTGCCTAGCAATTGCGAGATCCTGAGTTTAAACCCCAGTACTGCCAAAAAGAAGAAAGAAATGGGTAACCAGGTAAATTATAAATTACGTGAATTTTACTTTTTAATAAATTTTTGAATAGATACATTTCTTAAAGTATTTTCTTTTTGAAAAATAAGACTCAGCCAGGTACTCACTCACTGATCCCTTCACGGGCCACCAATTTGCCATTACTTTGCTCCTGAGTGAAATTGTCTTTAAGTATTATCTTAATGGAAAGGTCGCCTTCACTCCTTGTTTTCGAAAGCATAGTCTGGAATTCAATGAAGAGCACATTCCGTTCCTTTAAGATGCCATGCGTAGTAACATCTGTCTTGTTCTGTTGTACTTTGGACAAAATGGTGCTTTCGTTCAACCCCACGCCCCGCTCAGTAGTGTTGCTGAAGGTTTGTGTCCCATGGTGCTTGCATTGGTGAGTGACCTGCAGTGTTGTTCACTTCTGTCCTGGAGGTGAGGAAACACATTCGGAGGTCACATGACTCCCAAGTACCACCACGAGCCCGGTTCTGTCTGTGCCCTCCTGTCCCAGGCAACCCCCACCTCCCCTTTGTGGAGGGGACATAGACCAGACCCTAGATGCAACATGACAATTGCTTGGGTCCTAGGAGCTGTTCTTCCCTGCGAGGGGGCACAGGATCCTGAAAGTTGACTTCCCCTGACAAAGCCCTAGCTTGATGGTGGGAAGATTCTCCCTTCCAGAAAGATCTCCTAGCTCCTTACAAGCTATTTATTGACACTGCCACTTCAATGCGGTGTTGATAGCAAGCACTTCAGTGCCCGTGAGGTGTTGTACTGATGGTGAGGTCTGAGGTTCGTGTAAAAAGAGTCCTCTGATAGCCGGTGGCTCACCCTTGCAATCCAGCTGTTTGGGAAGCTGTGATCTAGAGGATTGAGGTTGGAGGCCGTCTCGGGCAAATAGCTCACAAGACCCTATCTCCAAAATAACCAGAGCAAGAAATGGTCTGGAGGTGGGTCTTAAGTGGTAGAGCATCTGCTTTGCAAGTGCAAAGTCCTGAGTTCAAACCACAGCCCCCCCAAGAAAGGAATGAAGGGAGGGAGGGAGGGAAGAAGGAAGGAAGAAAAAGTCTTCCATTGGGCTGGGGAATGATTGAATTGGTAGATTGCCCACATAGCAAGCATGAGGCCCTATGTTCAAACCCTGGTACTACCAAATAAATGAATAAGTAAAAAAGCAGTCCTGTCTCCTGCGGCAGTCCATCACCTGAGCTTTTTGTAACCTCCACACCACATGGCACCCATGCTTAGGCAACAGGAAATTTAGAAATAGTCACTCACTTGTTCAGTTATATACTGAGGGCCTACTCTGTACTCCAGGACTGGACCATATCCAACCTTCAGGCAAACAAGAGACGGTCCTTGACCTCAAAGAGTTTGTAGCCCTTTGTTATTTTTCAGCTAATATAAACATAGAGTCTTTTACCCTCAAACTTAGCATCAAAGTTACCACTCTAGCCCAGCCTCAACTTGGCACCCCAGCCATAATTCTTTCTCCAGCATCAGTGTCATCCTTCCTGACACCAGCTTAGCTTCACTAAACTCTCCCAGAGTCGCAGGCCTCTGCTTAGCAGGCAGCTCTACTTGTATTTCCTCCTTAAACACTGGCCTAGAAATTTCTTCCTTCTAACTTCCATCTCTTGGGTCACATTCTGCCTTTCTGGGAAATAATAGTTGTTTCTTTCCAGCAACATCCCTTCCAGAGGAGACTCTTACCCAATTTCTTATAGGATGTGTTTTCTAAAAGCCACTTGCCATCCAGTGGGTTTCAGGGTCATGGTTTGGTCCTGGAACAGTTACCACTTGAGTTCACCAGCAAGTAGCCCCAAGGTAGCGTGAGGTTTGCTGGCAGCCTGGGTCAGGGAAGAGCCCCACAAGGCCGTCCTGACGTCACAGGAGGGAACACTGACATTGCTAGAGGAAGGAAGCCTCTGAGGTAGACTTTTGAGACCTTTGTAGAGGTTGCTCTTTGACAATTACAGGGCAAGTGGCTTTATGTGCAGGACCCAGAAGCAAGACATATGGGGAGTTTAAGATACACGGATTTATCTGCTTATGCTGCAGTGAACCTACTGTGTGCTTAAGTACTGGAGCCAGAGGTTGTGTGTCACAGGCTGTGGGAAGGGGAAGATTTGGAGACTTTTCTTGCTTTAGGTGCGTGTTGGGAAGGTTAGACTTGCTGTCGAGACAAGACTGCTTTGCTAACCTGTTGGATATGAAATCGAATTCTCCTCATTTTAATCAGCGTTTTCTTGATTACTAATGAATGAGACCAATAATTTTTACTATGGTTACAAGCCACTCTTTTGCTCACTACTAAATATTATCTTTTTTGTGTGGTTTTTAAAAATTCATTTTTAGCTGCTGGAGCAGCTCAATTGGGAGAGCACCTGTCTACCAAGTGTGAGGCCCTGAGTTCAAACCCCAGTACTGCCAAAAAGAAAAAAGAAAAAGAACCCCTAAAAATTCATTTTTAGTAGTAGTCTTTTGACTTTTCAACTACTTAAATGTGCCTGCTCCCATCCCAGTCTCCCTTCTCCTGACTTGGGAAGTTTTATTGTGGTCACACCTATAAATCTTTTCCTTATGGCTTGTTAAATTATTGCTGTACTTAACAAGTTCTTCCCTACCTTAGGATTATAGCATTACCAGTACTTTCTTCCAGTAGTTAGAGTTTTATTTCAAATCAAGGCCTTTGTCCCATATTGGGTTTTCAGGAGGTATTGTGTGGTGGGAGTCTATTTTGATTTCTCTCTGTGCTGATCTGTGCCATTCTGCCACATAGCACCCACACCTACAGAAGTGTCTTTCTGGGTCATTCTTGTAATCCACTGATTAATTCATCATTCCTATGCCAATGTCACATGAAATTAATTAATATAGTTTTGTGTTATTGACACCCGGCAAGGAATCCTTGTTCTGGATTTGCTTATTTTTTAAGTGACCTTACCTATTTGTGACATGACTTTTAGAAACATTGGCCATGTTCTAAAATCCCAAAGTCTCTTGGGCTTTTTATTAGAATTGCATTGAGCAAGTAGAATAGATTTCAAGAATGACATGCGTCTCTCTGTCCATGAACAAAGTATTTCTCTCCTTTGCTTCAGACCCTTTTCGTGTCTTCAGTGGAGGTGATAATGACTTGCACCTTCATCTTTTTTATTTGTTGAAATGTCCAGTATTAAAGTGCCAGTGCATAGAACAGCTCTACAGAGGTACAAACTCTGCTCAGGCAAGGCACAATTTAAAGCAGCTTGGGGTTCTGTCAGGCTCGGGGCAGTGGCAACTAGTATTTTGTTGGATAACTGTCACACAAGTGCAAATTGGCTCTTGGTCAGCAAAGTCTCACAGGATTCCCGCCCCACCTGGCGGATGACATCCATCTGCCCATCGGCACTCGCTTCAGTGGCCACTCACCAAGCAATAAATCCCCTGCCGTGTCACTCCCCCACGTGTTTTCTATCCACGGTAGGATTAGGAATGATTTTGTCAAGTGCTTTGCTTCAGTTAAGATCATTTTGTAGCTGTGAGCAGGTGACTGTCGCCTATAATCCCAGCTACTCAGGAGCCAGAGATCTGCAGGATCTTGGTTCAAAGTCCACCCAGGCAAGTAGTTCCCAAGAGCCTATCTCAAAAAATACCCAACATGAAAAAGGACTGGTGAAGCTTCTTACGTGGTAGAGCGCCTGCCTAACAAGCATGAGACCCTGAGTTCAAACCCAAATAAATCCAAGATGATAATAATCACTGTGCCCATGGTATGCTTCCTTACTGATCCAGTCTGTTTGTTAAATCCATGTTTAGTTTTTACCCTTGCACATTTGGTTTCCATCTGCTATGAGGGACACTGTCTCCACACTTTATTTACCAGTTTCTAGTCTTCCGAATTTTCCCTTGTTGCATGATCCCTCATAATTTGCCAGCGTGATAACAAATTCAGCAGCTGCTTTTCCAACACGATGTTCAATCAGCATTTATAGTAAAATATCATTCCACCTGCTCCAAAAAAGAAAACTTATTCTTTGGTTTTTTAGTAATGCTATTGTAATTTTTAAATTTTTTTTTTTTTTAGTGGTACTGGGATTTGAACTAAGGACATCACGCTTGCTAGGCAGGCACTCTACAGCTGTACGGTTCCAGTAGTCATGCTTCTGTCCAACCAGCACTAACTGTTGAGTTAGAAGACTGCTGTTCTCACTGTAAAACCAGTAAAATACACAGTATAAGCTCCATTTGTAAAAATGCTGCAGTGGTTTAGACAGGCAGCCTCACTCGGAACATCTGAGGTGTCTTTTTGCTAATTGACATCTGATCTGAGCATTTCAGTGGCTGGAGTGAGGTAGGAAAGAGGGTTTGTTTTGAATGCTGCACTTGCTGGTGAGGGATTCTGGAACAGAATCTTAAGCCAATATCTAAGGTCTCACTAACTTAGTTCTTCAACCAGATTAAAGTTTTTTGTCATTTGTGTTTCTCCAGCTTCCAATTGTAGAAAAGATAAGAACCATCGCCCAGACCGTCTATGGAGCCAAGGATATTGAACTCTCTCCTGAGGCACAATCCAAAATAGATCGTTATACTCAACAGGTAACAAAATAGATTGATGTAGCACTTTTTTCTTGTTTTTATGGTACTGGGGTTTTGAACTCAGGGCTTTGTCCTTGCAAAGCAATCTCTCTACCAATTGAGCCACACCTCCAGTCCATTTTGCTCTGGTGGATGACAGAGATCGGATATCATGAACTGTTTTCCCGGGTAGCCTCAAACTGCCATCCTCCTGATCTCAGCCTCCCATGTAGCTAGGATTGCAGGCATGAGCCACCAGCACTTGGCTTAGATGTACTTTAAGGGAAAAACTCACTTTGGGATCTCAGACTACTGACCTTGACAAGAGGACTGACAGCGAATGCCTCCAGGCTGACCTCTGCTTAATCTGCTTAAGGATGAACAAACGAAGTAATGTCCTTGGTAGTATTACCATGGTTAAATCATCATGAATAGCTCGAACGATAGAATGCCCTGGGCTCAGTCCTCAGTGTCACACACGCCGAGAACATCATGGTGGGAGTATCCATCCACTTCCGTTCGCATCATTGACTTCTGAATTATACGTGTGTCTGTTTTATGCTGTGCTGGGGATCAAACCTAGGGCCTGACAAATGCTAGTCAAGTGCCCTGCCTCTGAGCTGCATCCCCACCCCCGATAAGGATGTCTAATATGGGTGGCATCCATGTTCAGATGTGAGAGTGGGTCTGTTGTCCACCCACTTTGCCAAACCCTGAAACTGTCATTTGCTGTGTAGCTGGGGAGTCTAAGTTAGATGCCTTGGGGTGTTCACTCTTCACTGCAGGCTTCTCACTACCTTAAAAATGCTGCCAGGTTACGCCAGCCAATGGGCGTGGCGCATACAAAGCTGAACAGCTGGTATTCTCTTCCTACAAGTGATCCGTTAGCTCGTCAGCAGAGGATGAGGGCTCCATCACCTTCTACCTCTAGACAGTAGCAAAAGCAAGTTGGCAGCAGCGTGAGCACCAGCTGGCCCTGTCCTCCGTCCTATCCTGGGCGTGGTCAACTGACTTCATTTCATGGTGGTCAGCACCCTGACCAAAAGGACTGTATGCCCGAATGCCCCCGCCTTTTTGACACAATAACATAGCAGAGAAGCAGTTCCAGGGCTTGCGCTTGCGTGGTTTTTTATTTTTGAGGTGCTTGAGATAGAACCCAGAGCCTCACACATGCTGGGCGAGCACTGTACCACTGAGCTTACATGCTCAGCCCTAGCTTGTCTTTCTATAAAAGGATTTCCAAAAATTGCTGTTCTGTGGTGAAATTTTCCCATGTGTGCAGTGAAATGAGAAAAAATAAGTCATTGTTGTGAAGTTTGGGAGTTTTTTCCCATGAACTTTTAGTAATGCTATTTAAGATTATTATTTATTCTAATTAATCTTATAATCTCATATGGTAATGATACATGTTTTTAAATATTTCTTTGGAGGAGGGGGGTTTGAGACAAGGTTTTGCTATGTAGCCCGGCTGCCTCAAACTTGCAATCCACTTGCCTCCACCTCCCAAGTGCTAGGATTACAGGTGTGTCCCACCACAGTGAGTATCTACTGCCAAAATTAATGATAATCTATATCCAATCACAGAAATTATTTCAGTATTTAACCAGCCTCCAAAACCCAAAACTCTGGGTACCATTTCTAAGAGAAATGGCGATTTTTTTTTTTTTTCACTCAGCAAAAATTCTTACTGAATGTAAGGGTAGGGTTTCAAAAACAGAATGCTCCCACAGTTGCTGACACCTAAAATGTTCCATGTAGAAGGTTGAACCATGAGAAGTCCTACACGGGCTACCTCCGAGGACTGCATTCCTTTTATTTGTCTGTCTACCAAGGGAGTATTCCTTAAAAGTCGTGTGCCAAGTGTGTGGTTTCAATTAATGAATTCAGTCTCCAAAGGAACGCTGTGTGCCATTTAATCACAAGAATGCTTTGGAGACACTGTCTTTTTGTGAGACCCCACATGTGACTTCCTGCCCTTTCACCTTTGGAACTCTGGGTCAGGCATAGACTTTGGTCCTTAAAAATAAGAGGCTTAAAAAGTGACCTCATCTTGATTCCTATTATAATGTAATCACAGATCAAATAGCTGTGATTCATAATCCAGCACAAAGGGTCCTTTGCTTCCTGACACACTCCAAGAGTGAGTGGACGACGTGACTAAGAGCCTCATTACCAGCGTTTCTCCAGATTACCTTTCTGGGTCCGGGATATTAATAGCTGTGAAAAGTGGTGTCTACAGCTGCTCCTGCTGCTGTGCCTAAAAATAGCCTTGGTTTTCCCACACATGCAGTGGAAAGCTGCCTTCTCTTAAAGAGAACTTCAAAATGAACCGTAGCCCCTCACCCTGGTAAACAGTGACCATATGGAGACAGGTTTTTATCATCCTCAGCTTCGTGCTTAATGAACAAGCGGTAACAGCAGCTACTGCTCGTGCTTGGATCTGAGCCGACCCACGATAGCTGGAGATGGTATAAAATGCAAATTAAACAAGCGTGGGAGACTAGCGTGTATATCAGTGAACACCTTTCCTTTCTTACAGGGTTTCGGAAATCTGCCCATCTGCATGGCAAAGACGCACCTTTCTCTGTCTCACCAACCTGAGAAAAAAGGGGTGCCAAGGGATTTCATCCTGCCTATCAGTGACGTCCGGGCCAGCATTGGTGCTGGCTTCATTTATCCTTTGGTGGGAACGGTGAGTGAGTACCAGGCTCCAAAAACCCTCCCATTCTGTGTTCTGATGCCTAAAGCCATCATAGGTGCAGCTCTGCAAATCCCGCACTAGGGGAGTGATTAAGTATTTGCTGTTTTTCTAAACACACTTCCATCAAAAACAAAGCCAAACTACGTCTGCCATTGTGGTTCACGTGCTTAGTTTTCGAGCTCCTGTGTTCGGGATTTGTACTCATAAAACGATGCCCATCCTAGGCCAGAGAAGAGAATGACATGGAAGGGTCTAGGCTGTTGTTTGCATGGGACGGTGACTCAGTGCCTCTCCCCCTGTTTCACATCCTGTTGCCATTAAATGTCATGACCTTGTGCTGTGGCAAGAAAGATGGACCTGTTTACCCAGGCCAGCCACCAATGAGCTGGAGGGTCAGCGCCCCACCCTCTGCCTTCCTCTGCACATCATGAAGGATCTGGCTGACAAAATTAAGGCGCTGCATGAGTTCCCATTTTTGACGTGGTTGTGATGGGGCTGCATTGCTTGAAGATAATCATTGTTATTTCAGGTTATGTATTTGGAAGGAGATGAATAGAGAAATAGATTTTAAGGGCTTATTGTAGCACTTAAAATCCAGGATGATGGGCTTCCTTCCAGTCTACGAGGCTAGCCTTTCCTTGGTGTGCATCAGTGGCCTAAATTTGACTTCCTGTTGTGGGTGTACTGGAGTAGGTTGAGAGCAAAGAAATTCTAAATCGTCATTACTGTTGTTGCAAACTAGTGAGAGCACAAACAAAAACAATTTTTGTAATAAGTCATTGTCATGGCTGTATTGTGCACACAAGCAATGGGTAGACAAAAATTATTTCCCTGATATTTACACGTTTCATCTAGAACTGGGCAAAATGTTTCAGAAAGCAGTTTTTGAATTCTCGATGCACGTGAGACTCACAGATTCCGAGAGGAGCAGGTGTACGCAGCAGAGGTGTGAGAGCACATGGGTGTCTGGAGCATGCTAGTCTGGGAATGTGCTCAGAGCCCAAAAGCACTGGCTATCTCTGCCCAGGAAGGGAGAGTGGAAGAGGGGACTGGAGGTGTGACTCAAGAAGTAGAGAGCCTGCTTTGCAAGCACAAAATCCTGAGTTCAAACCCCAGTCCCACCAAAAAAAATAAAGAAGAAGAAGAAGGACCACCTAAAGGGAATGGCAAAGTGGTGATGTTTAACTCAAAGGCACAAAAGTGCATGTGTCTCTGTCCTGGGGTGGACTGTGCCACTAGAGTCGACAGGGGTAGGAGGCTGAGAAATGGGAGGGGATAGCAGAACAGGACCTGATTGTTGGGGATATCAAATGTCATCTCAAGGAAGTTGACTTTCCTGCCAGACACGCTGAGAGCCTGTAGAGGGTGGGGTTTTCCTAGTAAGAAGGAGAAGAATGTGGTCTGATTCGTATTTTAGGAAAGTGGTTCTAATGTGGAGAATGTTTAAAGAGAGAAAAGGAGACAAGTTCAGTTGGCTGGGGCCAGAGGTGATCAGGTCAGCCATCTCTACACTTGCCTTGAACTCACAATCCTGTCTCAGCCTCATTAGCGCTGGGATTACAGGTGTGTACCACCACACCTGGCTCTGAGACTTATTTTGAAAGTGACTGGCTATCTACAGTGAGGACACGAAAGGGAGTATTCCAGCTTGGTGCCTCAGGGTGATGATACTGTTGATTGTGTAAAGGACCAGGAATGAGTCCGAGAGGAAGGCAGGAGCAGGAATGAGTCTGGCTTTGGCACAGAATTTGAAGGGCTAATGGGATGTCTGGAATAGCCTGTGCCTTCACTAGAAATACAGATGCAACACTAAGAAGCAAGGGACAGGAGGATGACCTTTGAGTTTTAAGAATATAAGGAAGGTGTTAAAGGAGGGCAGAGAGAAGGGTAGCATGAAAGCAGTGAGAAGAGAGTAAAGGGGGAGGCCCCAAGAAACACCTGTCTGCACAGTCATCTGTGAAGCAGGAGTAGTGGGGGCCAGGGGGAAGAAGGAACGAGCAAAACCACTGCTAGAAGAGTGCAGGGAACCATCACACAAGCTGGCTCTGTAAGTTTCCAGGGAGAAGGATGTGAATAGGAGTGACATGTTCCATGTGCAGTTCAGGTCACTGGTGCCAGGAGATGGGTATCACTGCAAAGGGGCATGAGCGAGCCTTCTGGGAAATAGAAGTATTCAGTGGTATATTTTGATTGTGGTGGTGGGCCCATAACTGTAGACTTTTGTCCAAACTCATAGACTCCCACATTTTAAAAGAATGAATTTTGTTGCGTGTAATTCAAATATACTTAATTAACAAAAATAGGCAGAGCACAGTGGTGTGCACCTGTGTTCCCAGCTACTTGGGCTGAGCTGAGATATTCTCTCAGGCCCAGGAGTTCAAGGCTAGCATGGGCAATGTAGTGAGACCCTGTCTCAAGAAAAGAGAGAAAAAGGAAAAAGTGGGTACTAAGGAAAGCTTGTTTTATATGCCTTAGAATGGCTATGTCACTTCTGGGCCTCAGCTGGCCAAAGCCTTAGCTTAGCAGTAAGAGGACTGCCAGGTAGTGAGGCCCAGAGACTCTGGACCAGCAAGAGAGACGAGGGGTGATGAGGTCCCCATTAGAGCGGGCCTTAGGGGCATTACCAAGAAGAAGGGTAGCCTTGTTCAGAATCTGCCCTGTCCTGCCCTGTGCACATTGCAGATCCTGCAGTTCACCCAACAAGTTCATTCATTCATTCATTCATTCGCTCATCCATTCATTCATTCGTCCAGTGTGGGGGAGGCCCTGTGCTCAGTGTGTGGGGAGCTCTGGTCCAGGTGCCCCCTGTCTACTGCCAACATTACGAATCTGACTGATGACCTGTTTCATTTCTGAGCCTTTAGTAGTCATTGAACAAAAATCACAATTAATTTAAAGTTTTGGGGATCACTAAAAAAAACTAAAAATCTCCTCACACTCCACTTAAGGCCACCACATCCACTGCCAGGTAAAGACCAACACTGTTCTGGAAAACCCAGAGTCACTCGACCATGGCTCCTGCCTGCACACGTGGCTCTCTGCCTGTCCCTGGCCTCATGCTCTGACTTGTGACTCGTCCACAGATGAATGTGAGAAATGCCCAGGAAGAGCGGCCACAGCTCTTGGGGATTTCCTGAAGCCAGCCCTCTGTGTCATTATCTCACTTCACGACACCCAGGAGTGCTTCCTGTAGCCACACACCGGGACACAGTGAGTGTCAGTGCACTGTGGTGAAACCCTCCCAAAACAATCGGGTGTGGGAGTGAGGAAGGAAGCTCCTGACTACACAAGTTCCTGGAAGTCAGGACACCTTCACTTGGAGGCAGTAGCCCGAGGGCCACTTTCTATGACAGGACAGGAAGCTGCGTGGGGAACTGGCAAATGCACCCACAGAGGCCAGGATCTCCTAATAAGGGCTGGTATTTACTTTTCCTTCATCCCATTCTGGGCCCTGCCACAGGCTGCTGAAATGCTCCTAGCATTCATCACCCCCATGAGAGACCGGGTAGTAATTTCCTGCTGAGATGACCCAGGGGAAAGGGAATGGGGGCACTGGGGGACTTGGCTCCTGCAGGTGGGAAAATTCTAGCAGAATAAATCACTGTAGTGCTGAGTCAGTCCACGTGTGCTTATTAGAGTGCCCTTTCGAGACATAGCCATCTACCCACTCCAAAAAGGATGTCCCAACTGAGACCATCGTCGGAAAAGCTCTGCATTCTTCTGTAACATTCTTTCATTCCTTGACTCAGCGGATCATTGCTCAGTACCTCTGTGTCCGAGGACACAAACATCACGGGAATGAGCAAGACCTGGTCCTGCCCTCGCAGGCCTGAGAGAGACTGGTAAATAAAACCCAACGAGAACCTGGCACTGGTGGCTCACACCTGTAATCCTAGCTACTCAAGAGGCAGAGACCAGGAGGATCAAGGTTTGAAGCCAGCCCCAGGCGAATAGTTCACCCCTATCTTGAAAACAATCCATTACCAAAAAGGAATGATGGAGTGGCTCGAGTGGTAGAGCACCTGCCTAGTAATCATAATGCCCTGAGTTCAAATCCTAGTGCCACAAAGAAAAAAGCCAGACAAGGATGGAATGCCAGGAACTTTATACCAAAGGGACATATCCCCTCTTTGTAGGTCCCAAGAGAAGCAGAGAACTCCTCCCTCCCCCTTGCTACTGTATAGGTGCAAAAGCAAAGACTCCCAACCCAGGCAAGGTCCTTCTCCAGTAATAAGCACCTCCACCACGGTTGGATATGATGATGACATGGAGAAACGTGGCTGGGTTCAGCTTTTCCCCTCCAGATTGGCTTCCCATTTTTACTTATGGGTCACATTTTTTTCTATCATTGAATGTCACATGCTACTTGGTTAGTGGTTTAATTAGTGCTGACCAATGCAATCTGATAAAACGATACTTGCTCCACAGAGATCTGAAGCTTCCTGTGTATTCTTGCTGCTGTTGAGTGACATTAAACTTAAATATTCTTTCTAGTATATTAGTGAAAACTACAAAACGGTGCAAGATTCTTGACCAGCGCAATGCCACTCACTGCACATTTTTGTGGTGGGGAGAAAAGGGCAGGCCATTCTTTTTTTTCAACACAATAGTCTACAAATTACAGCATATTTCCACAATTCTCTCAAAGCTGGTGGTATATAGTGTCCATTAAACCTAATAGTGTATAGCTTATAAAACTTCTCAAAAAAAAAAAAGTGCCAAAAGAAAAAATTTAGTAAGTGGTCTTTGTCTTATGTCATGTTGTTTTGGGGAGGTTTTGTGTGGCTGTTGGTTTTTTACATTGCTGGGGATCAAACCCAAGACCCTGCACACGCTAGGCAAGCTCTCTACCACTGAGCTATATCCCAGCCCAATGACATTGTTTTGATATTGACTTTATGTTTCTGTAACTAACGAAGCCTGTTTAATGATTTAACACAAATGTTGTAACATAAAAATAATATTTTATGTACGTGAAGCAAAGTGCATGA